GTGTAAACAATCCGTTCCCAGATTTCCGCTCTATATGCTGTGGGATTTGGTTTTGACTTCATACACTATAAACAGTCTGCCTGTTTGCTGTTCAACAAACAAACTCCTAAAGACATGGCTAGGAAAAGCCAAGTTTTTTGCCTACGTTTTAACTCGAAAACAAAGCAAAAACCAGCGACAAAAATACAGAACCACATTTTTCTATTACATTGAAGACCACATGCAAAACTTCAGCCAATTTGGAGCAAGAAAAAAGAAAAGCAACCAAAATCGTCACTTATCCCCTTTTATGACTAGCTTCTTCAAGTAATTAGTAAGCAAGTCTAAACTGAAAGCAATTTGTGTTAAAAAGAGCCAATCTAAAAACTAGTTTTAGGAATTTACGAATAAAAAATATTTCAGTTAAATTATTGTTTCATTTAGACATGATTCCTTAATACAAATAGAAACTACTTGTATTTACTATAGCATGCAAATTTAAATTTACTAATTTTTCAAAACTATTCTCTAAGTACTAGAGACTGTGAATGTCAGTTGGGTATTTCACTACCATGGTTCTTACAAATTAAATCGTTAACTGTGGACTGCAGGGTGAATTCCAGAATTTCCCAGTAAACATTGCTCATATATAGTTGATGTAATAAATCATCCATGATAAAAAAAATCAAAATAATTCAGCTTATTCAGCTGAATAAACTTGGAAGAATGAAGCATTACCTTGGTTGCCATGTAGCTGATCTACTTCTTTGCTTTCTCTTGCCACTTGTAAGTATCACTGTAAACAAATCCACTCTCCTTGATAAGTGTATCAGATTCTTCGGGACCACGGCTGTTAAGACAATGGACAGGTCAAAGTCACTTCTTGTCAGTTTCATATTTTAAGGAAAACTTATCAAGCCTGTCTGTTTTCACAAGACTGACAGCCCATTGTAACCACTGACGATTAAATAACATCCTTAAAATGTCTACTTAAGAGCGTTTCATTTGAGTGTAGGCATGGTTTTACATTACTATGCTTCACAACTCTCTTAAAAAACTTGCACCACTTTTTCATTCAATCAGAAGTAAAACCAAAACTATTAATGACTCGCTTGCACATGTTTTCTCACGCTTGTAGTCCGCTAGACATAATTACTTTTAGTTTTGATTGTTTCACTGTATTGCTTGAGTCCTTGGTGATTGACCAGAGTGATAAGTTTCGTTTTATTTCTACAACGCTCAATTGAAAACTGCTCTATTAGCCCTAAGTTATTTTTTTTCTCTTTTCAATGCACTCGTGACTGAAAAAAGAAATTGAACACAGAACTTTTATATTAAAACAATAAGTTTACCTTCCAAATTTATATGGAATTGGTTTGATTTTTTCTTTTTCAATCTGATGCAGAATAGGAGTGAAAATCCTCCAGGCCTCAGCTAGCTCATCACTGAAAAACAAATACATTCATTTACAATTTGTTCAGTAAATTAAAATAATTATCTAATTCCATTTCAATAAAAAATGATTTCAAAAAACATATAAGTAAGAAAATTAACGTAAGTAAAGTAACACGATGTTTCGACAACTTCATGTCATCATTGTCCAATGAATGAATTAAAAATAACAGCAAGGCATATTTTATGGTACTTACGATATGAGAAAATAAATTAGCAAACGTTACATGAAAACATTCAGGTAAAAAGTTTCGTGCGAATGGAATCCACTTATGTGTTCGGTTTTGGTCTTTTGTTACTAATCAACAGCATTTCAAAGATCAAAATTTTGGGTTTGCCACGGCATTTCTTTGACTTTAAAGTTCTTAATTACGTTGTCAAGTTGAGTTCAAAAATGGCAATTCTCCCTACAGGTTTTCATACAGTTCTTTTCCTGGTGAATCAAGCACTTTGACATTTTGCTTGTGGGGGTCTCAAAATTATTTACGGATGTCAAATCACTGCCAAACTACTTATTTTTATCACATAATTACTTGCTTACATGGGTATATTTATGAACTCACAAATTTACCAGCTCAGTTTGATTGACCACTGCACCAGTATTACAGAGGTCATGGGTTGAAATACCGGCTCCAGCACGGACTTTGTTTAGGCTTTTTCTTTTTTTGTAACTACCTAATTAACCTGCTTTCAAGTAAACCTGTAATGATCTTTCATGTAGCATATCTTTTTACCACAGTTCAAATATAGGACATTTCGTTATATTCCATTTCTTAATACAACTGCAAGTTTTTTGAAGTTAATAGCATGTGATAACAACCAATAAGGTGACAATAACTTGTGAATAACACTTGGAAGGATCATGCTGTCCTCTGATTTCTCCCATTTAACTAACAGTCTTTAACTTTTTTAAATATACAAGATCTACATATATACCTTCTGACAAAGTGAGCCTGGTTTCCAGAAAAGACATCAAGGATGAGCCGTTCATATGCATCAGGCATCTTGACATGCTGATAATAAAATATGTTTTTTGTTTTGTTTTGTATTTTTGTCGCTTTTTACTGCAAAACATTTTAAAATATGTTATGCATATACATAGTTAAACCTCCTGACATGAAACATAACTATAGTACAATTATAGAAAACCGATGAACATACATCACAGAGATTTATAGTGATTGGCTGGAAGCGTAAGAGCAATATGACCTAGAAATGATTGCACGGGAACACAATCAACACATAAACTAAAAGTATTAACAAGTAATTTGAGTGGCTTAGGGGACAGAGGCAAGCACATACAGCTTTTGGTTGGCTAATAGAGAGCACATTGAACAGAAAAGTATATGGATGGCAAGTTGCTAATCCCTTTTATGTCACTTGCTGTTAAGGATTCTGATAAATCATTCGAACAAGACTTTAAGGCTTTCTTCATATTTCATCGAATACTGTAGGGGTGTCAAAAACCAGACCTACTGGTAGTAAAAAAGGTCTTAGTTTTGTAGGTCTTAGTTTTAAGGCACCCAATATCGTAGCAGAAAAAACTTTCAGGTACTGGTCAAGATGAAACAAATCAGGAAAGCTCATAGGAAAACGGTTTTTCAAGGCAAAAAAATTGCTGTTTTGTGGAGCTGTTCCCTCCCAACAGGACTTTGTTTTATGTATACTATAGATGCATACAGTTAGTAATTAAAAATGCATACAGTGAATCTTTCCTCATATGTCAAATCCAACTCTGATTCATGGGGCTCAAAAGACATTCCAGCTTCCTTGATCATCATCTTTACATACACCGCCTGCAAAAATGAACAAATAACAAGCTCTTAGTCAAGTCTTTTTATTAATAATAATTCATATAAATAATGATGTCCAGTCCACTACAACCAAGTGCACATCAATTTTGTAGCAAACGCAACTGTGAAAAACAGAGACAGCATTTTAAATATATCATTGATTATCATTTAACTTAAAATTATACACTTACACACTTACAGTGTCAAACTTTAAACACATCTACAGGTGCCATAGGATAATAAAAATATTTCAATTAACTTGGTAAATTTAATATTTATTTTTTAAGTACTTGTGTTTCAGCAATACCTCTTTTGGTTGAAGCCTAACAACCAACTCATTTCGTTTGCACTTTCCTTCAAAGATATCTCCAGGTGCATCAGTAAACTGAATGCGTACCTCAGCCTTTCGTTCATTCAGAGCTACAAAATAAAAAGAACAATTTACTGAATTTGTACATTTGCACATAGCACGCTAAATGTTCCCAAACTCGTAGGCAGATGCTCTAGTGCAATTTAATTTAAACTCAAATGTTAAAAGATAACTGAAAAATGTTGACAACTTATGTTGCAGCAAAACCAGATAGTAAGCAATCAAACATTTTTGTTAACATCTTTGCAAAGTTAAATGTATAGTTAATTCCAAATGCAACCCACAAAATTTCTAGTTTATATTATGGACGCTGTAAAGGTGCCTCATTGATAAAAATACCTTTGCCACACTTGAGGATAAATGGCACACCTGCAGACACAAAAAGAAATTATTAAGTCTGACTAATTTAACTTCTAGTCAGCTTGGTTACAATATTAATCCCAAGTAGTGGATGTTTGGATTAAATGTTTGGATTTTCTGGGAAGTTAGGTAATTGTCTTGCTTATGCCAGAAATTAGCAGACAATAGGGGTCTGAGCCACGGTGCTTATGTTTTTGTCAATTAAATGTAAGGCAACAGGAACTGCATCTGATATTAGTGTAAAAGGGATATCAGCAGCTAGAGAAATGCAAGAATTTTGCATTGAGCTCCAAGCAAATGATCCTGAGTTAACCTTTGCGATCAACATCACTTCCTCGGGAAGAATTAACCTGTCAGCAGGATCGAAGGATACTTACAGGTGCATGTAATTAGCAAAGGTGGAAAAAATTAAACTTCCCACACTGACACTTCATTCTCTGAAAGTGCAATAATGGTGTCACCAGGCATCCAAGATCTTCACATCCATGAAAAGTTATGGGAGCATCCACGAACACTACAATTGTCTTGTTTCATACCAATACTACGATTATCAGTAGAGGTGCAACGAAAGTTTGGTCATCAGGTTTTAACGTGTAAATCATGTTGTCATCACATGCAACTGGCTCAATTTCCAGTGGCAACTTGGCCTTTAATGTCATTAACAGCAAAGCACACAAAATTGTTTGCAACGGGACAGGCGACGTATGGCTGTTGACATAGTTATCAATGGAAATGAGGTAAGTTGCCTGTGACAACACCATAATGTTAAGGTCAAAACTTCGCCACCAAAATTCCATCGCGCCTTACTGAACAGTGGCGTATCCAGAACTTGAGCTAAGGGGAGGGGGGGCGGTTTTGTTTTGCTTGCCCTGCCAGCTTTCCTTCCTTCTGTTATTTCTTCTTTTTTTACCCAAAATAAGGGTGGGCCCAGGCCCCCTGGGCTGCTCCCCTAGATCCGCCACTGCTGAACTGATAATCGTAGTAACCTATCTGCACACTGTATTCATGACATTGCAACATGAGTTACATGTACAGTAAGGAAACACACCAACAGTAAGTGCAAATATCCTAATTTGTAAATGCTTATAACAGTACTGCACTGCTGCTACCTTCATTCGAACTGAACTTACCATCCCACTTTTCATTGCGTATGTACATCACAGATGTAGCAAATGTTGGTGTGATGGAACCCTTCGGCACAGTGGGATCGTCGAGGTAACCAAACTTTCCTTCCCCTTCTGCATCAGGATTTCCAATATACTGACCCAGCACTGTATTCTTCAATTCAATTGGGTTCATGCACTTGAGTACTTTCACCTTGTAAATAAAGAAGACAATAATGCAGTTACTGTCAGTAGTACAGTAGTTTTAATTCCCAAGTTTACTCTTTACTTTCCTAATTCACTGAATAAAATCCACTAAGAATTAACCTTCTCATTTCGCAGATCTTCAGCTTGTTTACTAGCAGGTTTTTCCATGGCAACCAGACAAAGCACCTGTAATAGATGGTTCTGCATAACATCCCTAAAATAGAGATACAATGCACATCAACAGTCACATTTAGGTTACATATATCTATTCCTTAAGATCAGAAAATCTGAGTTCCTTTCCAGAATAAAGGGCTTAGTCATGGCTAAAAAGCAACTCGTTTGTAGATTCAAACTGGTGGACTGGTGGACTGGTGAATAAACATTTGCTCCACAGCTATTGACCAGATTCCGACAGGGGTTTTGGGTATA